CCCGGGCACGGCAGCTCCCCCAGCGGGTCCTGGTGCTGCCCCCGCGGAGGGGCGGCCGGAGCTCCCCCGGGCCTGTGGGGGGGCCGCCGCGGCCACCGGCAGAGCAGCCCCCGCCGCAGGTGTGTGCGTGCGCCGCCGCTCGGTTCGAGCCCCCCGCGGAGGGGCCGAGCTCCCGCTGCCCGGTTCCCGCTGGGCCGCGGCCGCCCGAGCCCTCCCGTCAGCCCGGGGGCGGCGACTTGGCTGCGGGAACCGCCGAGGGCGGAGTGACCCGCCCGGGCCGCCCTCGAAGGGGGCACACAGGAGACGCTGCGGCGCGGAGGGGCCTGGGGGGGCCCGGTCCGTGGGGGCCTGAGGGGGCTGAGGCGCCTGGCTCCCGGCGCATCCCCGCCGCTGCCGGGGGCAGGTTTCCCGCCGCGGGGAAGGCGGGCGGTGGTGTTGGGCGGCCCCTCGGCAGCCGGACCACCGGCGGCGGGGCGGCCGTGGTGAGGTCGGTGCGGTTGTAGTCCATGCAGAGCGTGTCCGGGCTGCCCTGCTCGGGGAGGCGGTCGCAGCGCATCCTGTCCGGCCAGGCGAAGCCGTACTGCCGCATGAGCGGGGCGCAGCCAGCCTTGGCCCGCTCGCAGACGCTGCGGCAGGGCGGCAGTGGCTTCTTGTAGTCCTCCAGGCAGATGGGGGTGTACATGCTGCAGAGGAAGAAGCGCAGGTCGCTGGAGCACTGGATCTCCACCAGCGGCCAGAACTGGTGCACCTCCAGCCCGGCCTCGTCCTGCGTGTCGTGGTTGAACTGGTTGGGCATGTAGGTGTAGTTGTAGCCGATGCCCTTGCAGAGGGGCACGGTGATCTCCTGGCACGACAGCTCCTTGGCCGAGGAGGAGGAGGACGAGGACGCGGCGCTGGCGGCCGAGGCGGCGGCGCACCCGGCGCGCTGCAGCAGGGACAGGGCGGCGAGCAGCGAGGTGATTTCCAACAGGTAACTCCACTCCATGCTCGGCGGCGGGCGGCGGCCCCGGCTTCTCTCCCGTCCCGCTCAGCAGCCGCGGGCGGCGCGGCGCCACAGCACCCACCCGCCCCGGCTACCCCTCTGGGGGGCGGAGGGCAGCCCCCTCCGTGCCGGCCGCAGGCGAGAGGGCTGGCAGCCCCGGCGGGGGGGCTCCGTCGCCCGGGAGGAGGAAGCCGCCGGCGCCGGAGGAGGGGGGGGTCCGCTCAGGGAAGGGCCCTCAGCCGCCGTCGCATCGCTCCTGGCGGGGCTGGCTGCGCAGAGCGGGGGGGTCGCCGCTTCTCCCAGCGCCGGCCGGGCACGGAGCGGCGGCAGCGGATCAGAAGTTTCGCCGTCAGCCCCCGCCCGGTGCGGTCAAGATGGCTTGAGCAGTCCCGGGGACCGGGCGGTGCAGGGCTCCCACCGCCCCGAGCGGGCGGGCAGCGGCGGGGCCGGTGCTGGGGCGGCCGGAGCGGCTCCTCCTCCTCCTGCCGCCCGCCCGAGCGCCGGGCTCCGCGGGCGAGCGCCAGCCGGCCGGTCCTCCCTCTCCGCCGGCAGGGCGAGCTGCCCGCCGGTCGCGCCACCTGAGCCGCGGGG